GTTATCCATTAAACGGCGCGCATTACCACTTGTACCAGCTTATTGCATTACAACACACAAGAGTCAAGGTCAAACATTAAATAAAGTTGTGATTGATTTAAAACTGCCAAATGAAACCGATGATATTGCTGCAGTCTATGTACCCTTGTCGCGGGTAAAGCGCTTAACTGATTTGGTTATTTTGCGATATTTTGATTACAAGGTGTTGTTAATTAAACCCAGCAAGTCACAACTGACAGAAATTGAACGACTCGATAAACTATATTTAGAGACTCAAACACGTTTTCCAGAATGGTTGTAAAACTTTTTCTTCGTTGCATGATAACTGCTCTCGTTGGTGTCAATTTTTATGTATACGATTTTCTTTTCTAAATGACTTAGTGTATGATCTATACATTTGAATGCTTTTTATTGTTTGTGTTGCATGTATTAGCAGTAGTCTCTTTTGTTATTGTCATATGAAATGATATGCGAAATATCCAGGTACTACTTTTGTGCCATATATTCATCACATATTCCTCTTTTTCATTATAAATTTAATATCTTTGTTATTCATGATTAGTTATCGAATTTCACGAATAAACACACTCTGCTACAATACTATCTTATACTTCTAATTAAATCATTTTATGGTAGTATATGACTAGGATGGCCCATAAATTCGACAATGAAATCATGTTTCATCTTAAGCACATTTTTAGCTAATATTTTGGTATACATGTGTTCTGACTGACGTGAGACATATTTGAATTAGTCTAGGAGAACCATCTCGGATATGGCATATCCGATTCTGACAATTGAAATAATTTTTTTGCAGCTCATTACTATTGTGTCGTAGAATAATACTTGTTTCTATTCTGAATAAGTTTTTGTTGAAAGACATATTATTTTCATATTACGCATCTCAGAGCATTTCCAGATATTGTTACAAGTGCCATGATCTATCTACACATTAGAATTTTACGATACATATCTTTGTATTACTTCATTGAATCAAAACGTTAGAGGGAAGTAGCACTTTTAGCTGCAGATATTACTATGATTTGAAGCTGAGCATATTTTGAAAGTCAATGATAGCATTATTGTAGTAGAAGAGATTCGGTACTTTGATATTCTAAAAGTTGCCTCGGGCAAGGTAGAATTGTATACCCTTGGTCTTGCTCTTGCTCTTGCTTTAAACTCTTCAGTCGAGGGTTAAGCGAATCGCACAGTGACGAGCGTTACTTGTTTCATATCAACCCATCATGTATAAAGTCAAGTTTGCAGAGCCGGTGAAAAACATAGGTAAGAAATTTTCCTCTTGGACTTCATTTGTAAAAAATTATTCTAGACGATCTTTATTCTATGGTAAAAGATGCGTATATTCATGGACATATACCTACACCTTATCCAGCAGCAAATAAACAACTACAATCACGATTGACAGAGTTTGTTTCTAAAGGTAAAATAATTTTTGTTGTGTTTTATCTTATTTTTCGTGTCATTAGGTATTTCTGGCGATCAATCTATGTCATTTTTCGATAAAGTGAATTCTAAACGTGTTTATGTACTAGAGAAGCATGACAACTTGATTCAGTTGCTGATGCTCATAAAAGAAAATGATGAAAAAAGTATGTCTTTAAAAATATTATATAGATCATTAATGTATATTTGTTCTGAACTATAGAAAAGGGTATGGTGGCAAATCAGCGAAAAACGTTTAAGAGAAAAATTTTGAGCGAAAATTTTTGAGCGAATAAAATAGCGAAAATATCCTTTGGCGAAAAGTTTTTCAGCGAAAACATATTTTGAGTGAATTGTGAAGGGTAAAACAGAGAAGTGTAAAATAGAGTAATCTTCAGTTTAACTTAACATGAAAAATAAGGGTGTTTTTTAAATTTAAACGAAATGTAATACGTGAGCATCAAATGATATAAAAAACTACCGATTTAGAAATAAAATATTTGAAGGGTGTGAGTGTGGGTGTGAGGTGTGAGCAAATGTTGATGTTGTCCATTAGCTTTAACGAATTGATCGCTTGCATTCGTATGAACATTCGCTGCGCAGCTATTTGATTGACAAACCCAGCACTTAACATTTTTTGTGGACTGTTTTAGTCGATAAACATATCCTGAATAAATAAGCATTCGTTTCCCTCGATTTGAAGTGGTAAAAGAGAGTATTCTCGGGCCAAGCATCACTGGTGAGTGAAATGAACTAAATGAATGAACTATGTAACATCAATTACGGACGATTATATATATCGAATAAAAAATAATATAATAGATTAACACGTTGAGAAGAGTGAAACCGACAAATGCGGTCATATATGTAGACACATTCGCATGATGATTCATCGTCAAACAAACAATCAAATCTTATCAAGAAAAAATTTCTCTAATTTCTACAGCCGCTCTTTTTGCTAATAAAAAAATTCGAGTTTTCGCTATTTTACTTTTCGCACTTTTTATTTTCGCTATTATTTATTTTCGCTGATTTTTTTTCGCTATTATAATTTTCGCGCTTTGTTTTTCGCTGAAAATACCTTTCGCTATTATGATTTTCGCTCAACCGACACCATATCAAGTGGTTATATAGAATCTGCTCCGAAATGCCATAAACGACTAAACGATGTCTATTGGATATCCAATAAAAGAATTCGACTTATACAACGAACAATGTAAAATACTTAATTCTGGCTTATCATTGCATATATTTTTTTTCTGTTTTAGAGCTAAGTTTATTCTTCCTGATTCAAGTAATGATGAAAATACAAATGATGATAATCCAAATGATAAAGAAGATAATGTAAATGAAGATATGAAAGATGATATTGATGATGGTGATGATGATGGACAAAGCACGTAAGTAGCTTTTGATTTACTTAGCAGTTTAATTTATTCTATTTTTGATATCGAATCATATAAAAGGCGCTTGTGCATTTTCTTTACACAATAATCCACTGCTTGAATAATAATATTTTTTATAGTAACTTGGTCAAAATGTCTCATGTGCACAAGCAATCTTCTTTACCACCATCATCACATCACTCAATAATCACAACAAGATCGAAATCAAAATTAATAGAAAAACAAAATGTAGTAAGCCTTAAACGGTAAGTTTACAATCTATTTTGAGTGAAATAATTTGTATATTTTTTTTTGCTTTTAGTTCAAACATATATGAAGCTGATGAGAATAAAACAAAAATGAAGAACAAACAGCATTGATTTTTATTTTTGTGCTCATATTTTTTTGTTACGTTGAACATTGTTATTATGCCTTATCGTTTTTGTTTATTAAACATTATGATTTTTTGTTTAAAATAAAATGATAAATTTAGAGTAATTCTTGACTTATCAAGCTGGACATGAATTTATTTTCTTAAATGAGAGAATTCGATACAACCAATCTCAAAGAATTTTTTTCTGCAAATTCATTACAGAAATATTTTTGTTCATTTACTCTGACTGCTATTCCATTCCTGACATTTTAAAATAGAATATAAGGGCGCCATCTAACTATATATTGGCGCTTTTATAGCGCCTGATGTATATATTTAAAACATCCAATCAACGCATTCGGCTACTTCGGTCTTCGGCGTTCACTTCGGTCGATTATTATTACCCCATATACATCGCGATGTTTCTTCAATGATTCGCTGTCTTTCTTCATCCATTCACAATATGATTCCACCATCACTTGGATGTCGCTAAATCATGAACAAAAATTTCGGAATCTTTCGGAGTCGGAATCCGAGTGAAAAAATTGAGTAGCGCTGATCACTATCTTATAGTGTCAAACTTTATGATGATAACTTGTGATTAATAATGGTTGTCAAATACGACAGAAACGATTGAAATATTCATAGTGGTTCTATATTTTTGGCCAATGAAAATCGTTTGATTTTTTTTTAAAGTTTACTATCTTATACTTTTATGAAATAATGAAGTTTTATTATCGTATTCTGAAAGAGCGTATAAGAATCTATATAATCTGGTATACTAGAGAGAAAATACTTCTTCATGAAAAATAAAATTTTTCATACAAACGAATTATGTTACGTGGTTTTATAATTTTGGCCAGTACTGTATATTGAAGATTCCCAAATAAATAAAAATGGAATCGATCAAGCTTATATTAAAAATTAAACTCAAATTTATCTAAAAGAGTCAGACTTCCAAAAATTTATATCATGTATAAATCTACCATATTTCTGAATCCAATTCTGTAAAATAATTATCTCACTATCTTCCTAATTTTTCTCTATGTTATTTAGCTTGAGCTTTTCATCGTTTTAAATTCTATTTTTATTTTGTTCAATTTGTCTATCAGAATTTTTACTAGTGCTTATACTATCAAATACAGAGCCCTGAAGAGTTTTTCAGTATTTAAACAAATAACACGAAACGCGTCAGTGAAATTAAACTCTGCATTTCTGTTTATTAATTTAATTCAAGCACATTAATCTGTTATCTTATTTAATTTTCAACAAAGTCGATTGCTGAAAGGCAAACATTGAGAACAGCAAATTGATTTGCATCTGAGACATATAGATTTATCTGTCTTTTTTATTTACTCAAATAATCTCAAAGTGAAATAACAATTTTTTTTAAATAACGTCTTAGTGGACAATTTTCCGTTGTGAATATTGTAGAAATGAAATGAAATGAAAGAAATATTTAAATAAATAAGTACTTATTCTCTAAACAAGACTCTCTGCCAGGATCTGGCCATTTTCATTCAAACCTCACAATGATGACTAAGCATATAATTGATCAGTTGGTTTTTTCCTTCATGCTGAGTATTACGCAGATTATTACCTTTAGATTTTTCATGGATTGCTTTCGAATTTTTTTGTGAGAACATCAATGATTGCCTCTATTATTTTCTAATTACTGTCAAGTACAATCAACAAAAACAGAAGCTACCTGAGCTACGCCAAACAATATGTTGTTGTGAACAACAAAATATTTGCTTTTGCGTTACTGATTTGTCATGATCGGATGATAGGACGATTGTAAGGTAGATAGAAGAAAAGGTAATAGTCATATAATTTCAACGGATAAAATTTCTTTTGCAAAGGCGCATCAATCGTATACATTTATAATGGTTTTGGACTGATGTTTAACAGTTGTGGTACTAGGAAAGAAAACAGTAAGCTTTGATCGTGTCATGTCTTCGAGAAAAAATGCTGTTTCATACAGTTAAGCATAAGTTTTAAGAAGTCATCTAAATGTTAAACGATTTTTTAATTGATACAATATTTTGTGTGGACACACTTGAATAATTTGTGCGTAGGAAAAAAGTATCTATGATTTTTTAATCATTAAAAGATTTCATTTACCATCTGATGATCTGGGTTGTTCCAGTGAAATCTAGACTATGGTAACTGTTCACACCCACACCCACACCCTTCACTCTAAAAATCAAAGCAAACTTAAACTCAAAATTATTCTTGTTCAGAAACTTCTATAGATAAAAGAGTATACTTCCTTTTTGGAAAAATGATATTTCTGTTTCTCTCTCATCGTCCTGTTTCAATTGTCTCTGTTTTGTAATAAAAAACAAGAATTAATCACATCATCAGAGATATTTCTTTAATTGCAGTTGTAAAAGAAATATTTCGTCATCAACATAAATAATGATCTAGTTCGCTTTAATGTTCTTTTTTTATCTTCTTCCATTTGATAATCATCTTTATTTATTCATGGATGAAAGATTATGAAATTGAATGAAACATAAAAGAGTAAAATATCGTTTTATGATCGTAACTTACTCTAAAAATTATTTCTTTGGAAGCTATTGTTCTCTTGATATCAAAAGAGTAGTAATATTCGATATATTCATAATCATAGCCGGAAATGATTCTATCATTTATAATGAAATTCAACATAACAAGAAATGGGATCATGTTCGAACGTGCGAAAAGCACTGCAGCATCTTTCTTTTATCCATCATCTTCATTGATGGATTGATCATTATTAATCAAACAATTATCTCTCTTTTTTCATAATTTCTCTAAATCACTCTCATCTATTTAGTAGATTTTTTTCTCCCTAGTAAATTCATTCTTCGTTCAATGCAAATGTTCAATTTCGTATATCATCGAATCGAAAATAATAAATTCTTTTTTGTTTTTCTATCTTTTTCAATTCACTCTCCGGATGAGACTATAAAAGGTGGATTCTCACCAGAAAATTCACATCATTTCGTCAAAATCGAAAAGTATATTTCTACTTTTCTTACTTTCTTTTAACAATCGTCATGAAATAATGCTCTACAGAATTCTGATAGAATATTTGTAATAAAACAAGGAATAAATTCTAATTTTTTCCCTTCAATCATTCGATTCATTGTTAAAATTCAACTTCGTCATTAAGTGATTTTTTTTCTCATTTTCGTTAGCGTCTATATATTTACTACTTCCATTCTATCCATAAAGATGATTCTCAGAAGTTTCTATCATTTTAAATATTATTCTATTTCATAATAATCAATTTTTCATACTTTATCATGAATACTAATAAAAAAGAACTATTTCATTTATGATCCGTAGGCTGGTGATGGATGATTCAACGTTCGTTTCTAAAGATGCCATTATTTAACACACTTATGCACTTGGATATACAAACCTGTTCTGTATAATTAATCTAATTTTAATAAAAAGGAGTATTGAAATTGTAGTTAAAAAAAATATACATGTTGGGTGAATCGTTTTTTAACAACAAACTCATCCTTGTGGTGACTAAATGCCATAGCGACTTGAACTAATGATAAGTGAATAATGGTTTTGGCGGTTTCTATCTTCTAAGTCTTAGTCTTTCTGTTGGATATTATGGAGACTGGTTGCAGCATTTGTTTAAAAACAATTAGTAATAAAAAACAACGTATACGTACAGTAACAATCGATGCTGAAGCTAAAATTCAGTTTGGTTATTATTCTCTTCACCATAGAGATTTAAATAGATCTCTTATTAATACAAAAGTTCATGCAAAGTGCTATCACAAGTACCACGATCGGTGGTACAATACATCGATAAGAGGCACCAAGGTGCCAAAAGTCTCAAACACCTTTGAAGATAAATCGATGTTAGTGAATGATGAAAATTCTATGCCGGATAAATACTCATTGCTGGATAATTGTAACATCGAAGAGGGCGAATATGAAGATCATGATGATAATAATGACGATGATGCTGATCATTATGAAACAACTAAATTATTATCTTCTAATGAGCCTTCGTTGAATCAGTTGATTTCTCATAAAAAAAACATCAGTTCTTATAGATATTTCTAACATTGAGCAATCTCCACGTAACACAATTAATCGACAAAGTTCAGAACAATTATTTTTTGAAGAAAATCTACCGGTCAACAATACCAATGATGAAAATAATCGCATGCACAGCGTAGTAGTAAGTTAAAATAAAATAGATTGTGTAGACAATGATACTTAAAAAAAAAGAAAAGTTATACATACAGTTTTGTTTTGAATCTTCGCCAAATATTCATATTTAGAGCAATCATGAATTTATTTCTTCTGAGCAACTTTCGGTGAATTTCAACAGCGATGACATTCAAACCAACGACGAACAGGATATATCAATATCATCAGGTTTCTTATTTATTACAATAGATCGAGACTATTCTAAATTATTTTGCAGGTCTGGTCGAAGAAGTATCGTTTCTTAACACTCCTCGAATAGACAGACGCGTTGATCCACAAACAAGTAGAGCAAGATCTCAATTACGCTCAACTTACCAAACATCAACGCCCAATGTTATTTATCAAAAAAGAGAAGTATACCAATTGTCTTTATTATTGACGATAGAAAATTGAATCAGATAATAGTTAACCTGAGTATTACTTTATTTGAACAAATACTGTTCAACATTATTTATGATCCAAGAGCTTTTCACTCTCTTCAGATTGGTACTCTTTAACAGAATTCTTATTTATGTCTGTACAAATAATGAGAAATATAGTAAATGTTATTTGTGTATCATAGTAGAAAATAATTAATCAATTTTTATCCATTCAAAATTGATGCGCATCAATTAGTGAATGACATTGCTATTAAGAAATGGTCATCTTTTGTTTGCCTTTCACAAAAAAAAGAAAAAAGTGTGACCGTTCCCTCTTTGTCTATATCCGCCCAAGCGTGATCACGCTCGCGTATATAAGGGAATGTAACTAAAGAGAATGCACGACTAGAGATGTGCAGGTGACACAATACACCATCATGCCTACAGGCATAGGCGACACTCTATGTTCGTCACAATTTGTACGCGCGTACGTATAAAATAACAACGTAGTTTTAATTATTAACATAAAAAGATTAGTAACTAACTAACTTACCGTTTTGTTATTTAATTGCAAACTTATTCGTTCTTTTTGTAATTCCATAGATCAAAACACGACATCGAAGAAGATCGGAAGAGGGCATTCCTCATGCAACTGCTGCGAACGATAGAGCATTAATCTATGATACACCTTTACATGAACTGCACGCTTGGTTAACGAGTAACTTGAAAGATAGTGGTCTTGTTCCATTGGCAGAGGCTCAAAATTTTTATAATCAAATTATGAAACAATACAACCAAGATGAACATTCCTTTGATTATACTACGATTCGTGGTGACATCCTACGAAAACAATTAGAGTCACAATTTCCTGATTATTACCATTTTGAAACTGTTAATAAACGAAATGGTACTTATATAGCTTTAAATAACGTAAGTCATTATTCTCGTGCAGCAATTTCTCTGAGCAAGTCTTCGACGCTCGATGTATCTGATCGTCAACAACCAACTACAATTATTTCAGAGGCATTTGATGAAGATCAACGTGAAAAATGTAAAATAATATTTGATGCAGTGCGACTGCTTCGTAACAACATGAAAAACACTTTACATTTACTGGAAACATTATTTAAAGAACCAAACAAGATGACCGAATTGACTAGTGACCTGTTTGCTGATTGTGTACCGTTGGTAATTCGCAATTTTATAGGCTTACTTACTTCGAACAATCGGCATTTTAAAAATCTTGAAAACGAATATAATTATTATGACATTTTTAAAAAAGATCTTTTTCAAACAAATCGCAAATCATTAAAAAATATTGCCATTGGTTATGATATACTGAACGCTAAGCATGATCATATTGTTTCACCTAAACATATATTATTAGCTAATGAAATATGCAAACACGGCCGATCAAACGAACTTATGTCGATCATGAATCGATTTGGCCATGCAGCTTCGTATAAAACAATCACCCGTGTTCATCGTAAAGTTGCCAATCAACAAATAGCCAAATCATCTGTTCCAGCTGATGTTCTTCCTGACTGTTACTTAGTACAAGTGGCTGATAATTTTGATCTTAATCGAGAAACGCTCCACGGCGAGCGTAGTTATCATTTTCTAAATCGAATACTCGTTCAAACATATGAGAATAATTTCAAACGACCAAGTAAACGTTCGTTTTTCATACTACCAATATGGAACTTCTTTCTATTTGTAGCTAATTTGAACAATACCAACAAAGAACTTTGTGATCGTAATTATTTCTTTTTTTTCCTCACTTCGGCTTTTTATGAAATTATACTATTTCATTTAGATTTAGCAGCAAATCAAGTTCATAATAATACTATGGATAGCGCTGGCAATTACCTTATTGTTTTCGATTCTATCAATAATTTGTTTTTATTCTAGTGGTGCAGCTAGTTGATAACCATAATCAATTATCTAGTGCGACATTATCTATCGATGGCCCAACTACTACTAATTTCGATGCATCAGATGAAGGTAAAAATAGCCAAACCTTAGTTTCATTGAAATGTACACGAAAAACCTTCACGGATATGCTTTTGTAGTATCATCGGTAAATTTTCAACAATCGATCGATCAGTCGACTTCAACTCATTGCGAAGATGAATCATCGATCAACAAAATTCGAGCAGCTGGTAAGACTTTCACAAATTTTGATTTTGTTATAGTATTATTACTTTGATTTAACTGTATACTTCATATTATTATATTTCAAGATGAAGCATTACGTGATCATTCAATGACATTTTATCATGATTTTGAGCCATTTATTGATAATACTCTCAATCCTCATTTGTTTGCATATGGATGCATCAAAGCTTATTATAATCGTTTAGGAATAAACAATCTTCCATTATATTCAGGCTTCATGGCAACATATTTACCACATGCCATTCGACCAAGACATAAAGTTACGTTTATGGCTCCAATAAATCAAGATCCAAATAAGTCAGAAACTGCCAAAGAGTGCATGGTTCAAATGAAGAAAATGTTAATAGACAGTGGATTACAAAACAATGCTGTGCTTGTAGTAGATGAGAGGATTTTTCGATTATGCATGGAGGTTTGTGCTGGACCATTAATATAGCTAATTTTAAAGTATTCTATGCTTTATTTTCTTTTTTTGAAGGTCAAAGATGAAGAATGGCTGAATTTTCAAAATATTTTTCTTTATCCTGGTGATTTTCATATGATGAAATGTGGAATGACTGTTATATGGGGCTTGCTAGAAGAATCAGGGATTGATATTTTAATTGGTGAATTGTATAAAGGTGCTACACATCGGGCTGTTCTATCTGTTGCTCATTTTAACAAATCTTTGCGTGCCATTAAATTAATTTTTACGGCATTACACATTCTTTTACACAATGAATTTGTGCAATCATTACCGACAACATTAATTGACCAATTTGAACAGTGTATGAATAAAATGCCATCAAATTTTACCAATGTGGATGATAATCAACAATGGTACGCTTATGTACTCGACTTTTTATCGAATGCTAAATTGAAAAATGTATTTGATCGTTGGATTGATGAGAGTTGTGAAAAAAACTTGAAGTTTCGTTTTTGGACATTTGTTTTGCTCGATTTAATTACTCCTTTAATTAAATTATATACTGCATTACGCACAAGTAATTTTTCTGCTCGAAATGCGGCCGTTTGTGATTTAGCTGAATTATTCTTTTCTACAAATCATCGACAATATGCTCGTTTAACCGCTCGCCATCTTTCGGATCTTCGTGTATGTTCACAACAATACTTTGATTATCTTTCGAAAAGCTTCGCTGTTTCGCGTAGTAATCGAAATTTTAGTACGATTGCTCTTGATCAAACAATTGAAGTAACGATTAACAAGATGGGCAAAGGGCATGGAGGTATTACAGGTCGTTGTTCCACGGATTTAATTGATGTATGGTCAGAATCGTATGCTTTTCGATCTATGCTTTCTACAATTACCAGTGAATTGGCTGGTGTTGAATCAGCGTCCAACAGCATTGAAAGTCATATTGAATGTTCATCGTCTCGCATGTCGTCAGATCATGTCGATTTACAAATTATTCTGAATAAACTCGTTGATGAAAAATTATTTTCATTAGATACGGACAATGTTACTCAACTTTTCACGTGAAAAATTATCCATCGAGATATTATTGAAAGCAATTGCCAATCTCGTGTAGGTCTTTTTCATACTAATTTAATTGTAAGCTCATCAATGCTTTTTTTATTCATGTTACTTTTAATTTTGTCACTATTTTAGAAACTAGGAGCAGTAGCACTTAAAGGCTATATTCATGATCGACTAGTGAACTGTACGACGTCTTTAAGTCAGACATTGCATGCGTCATCTCTTCTTCATATTCATAATAATGATTCGTACGACAGTACTGCATCTAATATGAATAAACGGTTAAAAAGTAAGTCAAAACTTGACTTGAAAAAAATAGATGCTGAAATACGACGCATCCTGCTTCTTGCTCAGTATCGTTCGATTGACCTAGTGGTAAGTGCAAGAATGCTTAATTTGACTAACATATTGAAATAGTTCATCTTTAGTCTGTGTTTGGTCATGAATTTTGTTCAGCACCAATTAGTTTATGTTCATTGGAAGATTCCAGTTTATTGAACCAGCAATCAAAATCAAAAGACACTTTTGATTTTTTGAAAGAGAAATTTCCTGTAGCAATATTAACACATATGCCACCAAGAAATCAACAACAAGCACTTGTAATTGATGGTTCTTCATTACTTCATTTTTATCCTCGTGCAGAAAGTAATGTGTTTCAATATTCTATTTATTTATTGACAGAGCACATAATACCTTTATTCAACGACTACTCCCGTATTGATATTATCTTTGGCTCGTCTAAAAGTCAAGATGTGAAGACATTTATAAAGCGGCATGATGCTAAAAGTTCAACACAAACGAAGTATGATAAAATTCTTCGAAATTATCTACTTCCAACAGGCAAAGCATATCAAAATTTTGTTGTGTCAAATCGATCACGTCTAGCAGCTGCAATTGTTGAATGTTGGAAAGAAAAAGATGCTATCCAGAAATTGCCACCAAAAGCAATACTAGTAATGGCTGGTCCAAATGAAACAGCAATGAAATTAGAGAAAGACGAACAACCAATCGATATGCTCGAACTTGAAAGTAATCATGTTGAAACCGATTCTCGATTAATTTTACATGTCGATCAACTCATTCAAAATGGTTTTTTCAATATTGTGGTCAAATCTATTGACAGTGATGTTATAATTTTATGTATATATTATGCATATCTTCCTGGCTTGGAAAAATTAGTCGTAGATGCAACTTTACCAAAAAAATCATTAAAAATCATTGACTGCACATATATACACAATGAATTGATTGACAATTTTGGCGTAAATCCTGTGTTACTTCTAATTGTTTATGCTCTTTCTGGATGTGATACTTGTTCTTTCACGCGCAACATCAGCAAACGAACTTTCATGCAAACACTTTTTGAAGCTCCTCGTGATTTCACTGATCTTGAAAATTTAACTGTGTTACCTATCAACAGAAGTGATGTAAGTCGAGTATTGTTAACTTTGACTCTTGAAAAGACTTCAGGCATAGAGACTAAATGTTTTGAAGACTCAAAAAATCTGAATGCTCTCATTGATTTCAGAAATCTTATGAAAGCGAAGTATAAATTAAGAGTTATATTCATAAATTCCGTAGAATTTTCAAGGCTTAAATTATTAATCTTTCCCTTTTAAATTTAGTCCATATATATATATATATATATATATATTATCTCTTAAATCATTGATGAATTAGTGCACTTGTGTCATCATTTTTTTAAATTTTTTTTCGTTGTTATTTGTTTAATTTTATTTGTGTTCTAGATTAGTGCTGTTGAAAAGTTGTATGTTCGATGTTTCTCTTCAGGCCGGCGCCGACGTCAATCAACTTGTATAGTATCAAGCTCAGGAACAATATCGCATTTAAATCAATTAAATCAAAAAAATGTGTCGATAAATGAATTACGTTCTCTTATGGCTATGGCCGCATTTAAAAAGAATGCAACATCCATCGCTACCTCCTTACCACCGACGCACGATTCTTTGTTTTATCATTGTTTGCGAGTATCGAGACAAGTTGCAATATGGTTACAAGCGACTAATGGTTATATTGGTTATCCAAGTTCAGAAGAGAGCGGTTTTCAAATTAGTGATGGTCGTGCACAAATTCAATGGAAATCCAAATTAGCATTTCCGAATGATCGTCAACTGTCATCGCGTGGAAAACATAAAGGAAAATGCACTAGATGCGTTTGTATTTTGAATCAATTACCATGTACCATATTTTGTCAATGTCCAATGGATTGTTCAAATCGAAAAACAAGTGAAACAGCTACGCCGAATGTACAAACAATGCCCGTGAGTTTCATGTTTAATTTTTTTCAGTCTTCATTTATATTACTTGTTTTTCATGTTCTTAATGTTAGAAACCAGCAACCAGCGCTGATCGGCCAATGCGAGTGTCTACATTTTCATCTACATTATTCGATTATGAATATTCCGATGAAGAAATCAGCGACGAATCGTCAACTTCAATTGATAATGTTCCCGTTGCCGACATGAATGACGTCGATGATTCAGTACCCGAATTATATTTTTATTATGCTATACGGTTGAATTAAAATCGTTTATTTTCTTTAGATTTCTTCATCAAATGATACTGAAGACTCAGAAGGACATGACTATTTTTAATTGTTAGTGTTTGTTTTTACAAAAAAATAAATAAAAAGAAAAGCTCATTCATCGAGTTTTATTAGCTGTTGCATGCGAAAGAAAAATTGATAGTATTTATAAAGTATTACATATCATTTTAATATGGAATAGGACGAAAAAGAATACTTTGAAAAAAGCCATTGCACACATGAATGCCTCAGTGAGCCGCTATATTGACCCATACAAAATTTAGTGACATCTATATTAATTTTTATTACTTCACCCAAAACCCTTTTGCACATATCTTAATTAGTGACTTTTATGTCTGAATTAATTAGAATCTAGCTTCTATTTAGGTTTGTATATACCAAGTGTAGCTGAGAAACAAATTCATTTTCTTTCACCAATCCGTTGCACCAGACCACGGATCATTATTACTTATCAACAATAAGACATATATGTGGGCACGAGTTAAGGGAAACTAACGAGTTAAGGGAAAATGTGGACGCCATCATGGATGCACATGCAATTCATTAATGTGAAAAATCTAATTGGTTATTTTGTATTGCTAATAGAAATTATTTCTTTCAATGGTGATTCATAACGCAACTCAATAAATATTTCTGTACATGAAATCCACATGAAATAGGATTACTATCTTTGAATTTGCTATACAAAACCAAACGTAAGTATTCTTATTCTTTTATCTTCAAACTTACGACGAAGCTGAAA